TGCCCCCCCCCCCCCCTTCTCCTTTCCTTCTCCTTTTTTGTTTCCCTTTTTTCTGCTGCCTCCTTATGTTTCCACATTTCAATCGCCTGCCAAGGTCATTATTTAGGCCTGCCAATGAATTTTGTACTTTCAATCTAGAGAGTACTCTGGCATCTAGCTAGCTTCATGACTGTTTAATATTGATGATTAGCTTGTGCATGTTTCTACGACTGGATGGTTCGCTGCATTCTCAAGTCCTTTTATGTTTCATTGTATACTGTGTTCCAGATATTGATGAATGCAAAGAAAAGCTGGCTTGCAATTGTAATGAGTGCAGATGCAAGAATACCTGGGGTAGTCATGAGTGCAAATGCAGTGGCAATTTATTATACATGCAAGAGCATGACACGTGTATAAGTGAGTATTCTCATGCCTCAATCTTCATACATCTTTAAATGAAGGGACAATATGAACATTCCCTTGCATGACATACATAGTAAAATGATTAAGACTTATATTTTACGAACACATTACGTACTCACCTGATATGAATGTTATGTAATCTGGGGCTTCCTTACTGATTAACAACGAAGTTCTATATGCCTTAGCAAATGGGCTAGTTGCCAGATCACATCTAGAAGCACTTAGTTTAACTTGGTTTCTATGGACTCCCATGTTGCATATATATAGTTCATTTATTGGATAAAAATCCCGTAGTTTCTCATATATTTGTAGCTACTGGACGCTCACGCTTGTCTCAGTTCCCTTCTATTGTTTTGTTTATCTTTATGTCTGTTCTGCTACTGAGTTATTTGAATTTGCAGGTAAAGATGTTAATACACGGTTCAGCTGGGGGTTTTTCTGGGTTATCATTCTCGGTTTGGCTGCTGCAGGAATTGTGGGATATGCAATGTACAAGTACAGGATCAGGGTATGCCTCAATTGCTTGGATTATATGCCAAACTTTGTAATCTTCCTTTCTTTTCAGGGCTGTAAATGGATGTGGATCCTAATGGAATTGTGCTTAAACTTCTTGTGTTGTAAAAAGTTCCTGATTCAAGTGTTCTAGTCTGAGAGCGAAAGGAGCTATTTCTCTTAAGAATTTGCCGGTAAAATGGAGGTGATTGAGCTGGACTGAGCCAAGGAAGAGGAATAAAAGACCATTAGGAAAAGGGTAAATTTAAAAGGAGTTTGGAGGAGCTGAATGTTTGAATGTATCGGTGGTGGGTTTGCAATACAAATTGGAGTGCAGTGAAGGTGGAAGGGTGGTTGAGTAAAAAGCAAATAATGAAAATTGGCAAGGTCCTTTGTCCACCCAAATGACTACAGCAACATGGATATCTGATTTCAGCCTCAAAAAATGGGAAAAGAGTAGAACATACTATGCACTTTTGGTTTGTTTATGATGGATGGATCAATTAGGTTACTGGTGATTAACAGTTGAACATATTGTCCGGGTGGCAAGATCAAGGAAAATGGGGGGAAGAAATGCATATTTGGTTGATCATGATCCAATCCTATTGTCAGGACTACTGTATAGTTAGCTATATATTAGGATAATTGTACATGTAAATTTGTTTATGCAAAATATGTTTTTCTTTTTCCTATAATGGTCATGTAATAATGAACTTTTGTGTCATTTGCAGAGATACATGGATTCAGAGATTCGGGCAATCATGGCACAGTATATGCCATTGGATAATCAAGGAGAGGTACCTAGCCACATTCCTCATGGAAACGTTTGACCAATCCATGGATTGGAAGAGACAGTCTCCCGCCTGCTTGGGATCTCTGCTACTACGTTAATTAAATTCAAGTAGGGGATGTAATGTAATGTAATGTGTTCTCTCGACCTGATGCAAGTTGCTTAGTTCAGTTGGCATTTCCCATTGGTTTGGTTATTCACGCCGAAATGTTGAATCTCATTTATGTATACTAAGGTAAAATAATGCGCATAAACTCCCAACTATCGAGGGAAATTTTCTTGGATGGCACTCGCATTTGCGTGATGTTTTTTTCGTTCCGGCGCTTTTGGACATGTTAACAATGAACTCTGTTTTTCCTGTTGGAAATGAACATTGTGTTGGCCGTCAGGGATTTAAAACAAAAAAACAGCACACTAATCAGTTACCCCAAATAGATCTATATTTGTAGTTTTTATTTTTTTTGTTCGTTTTGGTCGGTTGGTTTGGTATGGAAAGTTTTAAGAAAGAGTGTATTACAGCAGATTTAATTTGTGACTGGATCTTCTACTATTCTATGTTCTTTCGGGAGAGAGCTTTTCCCCACCTTCTATTCACTTTCGGGAGAAAACTGTCCCTCTGCAGTAAATTCCCCTCCCCACGAGCGGTTGTCATAATATTTTTCTTTTGATATCGAATTAGCAGACAAATTCCTTATGGAACTAGGCAAGAATTAGATGCTACGGTTTTGAGCTGGTCAATAAAATTGTACAGTGTCTTGGCCACAAGTAAATTGAATTCCCTCAAACAAAACACAAACCCCTCCTTTAAAGTAGCCAATGAACTTTATGAAATAGTATGCTACCACTTACCAGTCATCAATGTTTTTTAAGCTGCCCCAGCATCGGCACCATGCCAGAATCAAATAGCTGCCAGACATCCAGCCCCACGTATGAACTAAAATTTTTCCAATAAGCAAGTATGAACTCATTGATGCACATTGACTCATTGCCATATTGGAATCCTCATGATCAAATTTTTGTGACAAACGAAACTAAAAGCAAACTCCCGCATATGGGAGAGGATGCGATAACATTATTCTCTATCATCAAATCCTCTTGCACTAAGATGAATACAGAGGGAACCGCAAATTAAGAAAGCTCAGATGGGTAAGTATACTGTAACATCTTCCAACTTTTCTGTTTCATGAGTGTCTCGAAGTCGAACTCTTCAGATGCTATTATAGACGGATGGGATAAAAACCTGCAAACTGGATAATGTAAAAGAGATGAGTGCACCCGATCAAGAATGAAACTCACATCTTGCTCTTGTTCTTAAATTTAGATAAAAAAAAAAAAAAAGGCGGCTATAATGGGTCTTAATGCTCAAAGAGATTCACCCAGTAGATTGTTTTTGCATAAAAGAGACACAACAGCAATCTGTACAGATAGCAGGATATCATTTTGTAAAGGTGGAAAATGTGTATTAATATCATTTTGTAAAGGTGGAAAATGTGTATTAATATCATTTTGTTGGAAAGCCTTGATGACTCTAATTTAAAATTCCAACACACCAAAAAAAGAAAAAAAAAAAAAAGGAAAGGGAATGTGTCAATCATACTAACCATGCAAAAAAGCATCAATTTTCTATCACCGAGTCCAAGTTTGATCCTTTTGCCTGTCCGCCATCCATAAAGATTCTATATGCATAAAATGCTACCATTGCACCACTGAACACAGTAATCAAATTATCAGAAAAATAAACTGCCTTTAAAAAAGTGTCATCAACAGTAGCAGCAGTAATGACAATAAAAGATGAAAAAGAAGAAATCAGCATGACTTCAGGAATGGTGATATTTTAATTGAGAGTGAATATACTTTCCTTTTTGGATCTATATTCGCAGAACTCAGTTTAAAACAGACAAGCTGACACACGCATGTGTACATGCCCACCCACCCTCACACAGATTCTTCTCAAGGACTCCAAACTTCCCAAAGGCCACATTGACTAGGCCCTTTATCTGACATCCATTAACTTGAAACATATGGCATCAAGAAATCATAACCAATCAATTCCAAACTTTTCCATCAAGGACAGGTATACCACAATTTTACCTTCTAAATGCCCTACACCAACACAATCTTGGGATTTAGCCGATTACAAAATAAATTTATAGAGAACTAACCTACATCACCTATGAAGACATTTAATATGAATGCAAGAGACACTAATCATGTACGTAATCACATCTCAGTGCAAGCAAACCATGTAGACATTTTTGCATACATCAACAAACCAATTCACCTCAACTGCAAAACTCTTAGATTCGAAAATTTTTATATTTAGGTTTATATGTTGGCACGAAAACCATGTAGACATTTTTGCATGAATCAACAGAACAATTTACCTCAACTACGAGACGCTTAAATCAAAAATTTTCTAAATTGAGGCTAATATGTTGGCACTTTTTGCAAATCAGAAGACAACAGGTGTAATATCAAAGGTCAGGAATCAGACTCTGAGGTCCTCTAACAAGGAAAACTATGAAAGATGGTCCTCACTCCTCATATACTCAAACATGGGACAGTCTCACCAACTCAATTACCTATTCCTTACTTATATAAACATAACTTCAAATTTACCAATTTTTTTTTTGATAAGAAGCAAAACTTCCATTGAACAAATATATAGAGGATATAGCAGTGGAAAAGGAATCCATGAAAAGATTAAGGACAAAAAGAGATATATCCACGAACTCATTCGCAATTCAAGCCAAAGATAAGCCAAGAAGTTTACTCTATCCCACATAAGCTCCCTACATTCTTCTCTATCTTCAAAGATTCTACAATTCCTTTCCTATCACACCACCCAAAAAATAGCCACAACCACACCCTCACCCTCCCACAAGATAAAGACTTCTTATTTTTCCAAAGAAACCATAAGATATCACAAGAACATCAACATACCCTCTTGGGAACACCCAATTCAAACAAAACTCCCAAGAGCTTTATACCACATCATCAAGGCCACTGGCAAAGCAATATTTGGAAATCCACAATCCACCTGTTTGACCATTTACTTGTAAGCACTCCACAAAACAATATTTAACCACCCCTTTGGCACCATGTGTCCCATTATTTTTTCCCACCAATTACCATTGAACCCCATATCCATCCCCAAAATAGGGTAAATACAAATATAATTCTGAATGGTGACAGGAGGACCAATTAGTTAACATTCAGAATGCAGAGTGCCCAAACTGACATGACAAGCAAATTGTGCGGATTCATAATAGTAAAATTCACATACAAGTTTCTTCAACGATCAAAGTAGAATTAAATATCAAAACTGAAAAAAATATTAAAACCTGACAAAGGTTGAGACAAATCTGGCAAAGGATGGTCTCTGCAAAGGGAAAGTTTGAAAACGTAAGACAAATTTAACCACAACCTTATGCTCTTATAATTATTTTGATAGGTGATGTTAATATGTTATAACTAAAACAACAAAAAAGCAATACTTGGCAAAGAAACTCTTACCACAAACAACAAGCTTATCTCCCTTAGAAATAACACACTTGCTATTGCTGCAAAGCCAACCGCCAGCCAATTAGTCGAATCAATGCAGCAACCAATATGTAATACATAGATATAAAACTTCTAAATATAAAGATAGGTCTCCCCATTGTTTGCATATGGAGCTAATCCCTTCAATACGCATATTCTAAGAAAACAATGTAACGAATGCATTTGGATGAATATTAAGTGACTAAGTATATACATTGACATGTGAAATATTCGTTCATCAATCAAAAAAATCAGATGTCTGCAACGATTATGAGTTATTAGATTTACAGCTAGTTCGCAGCTAAAATTGTAAGGACAGTTGGAACGACAGTTGTCCCAGAGTAAAAATTTCTTCCCTTTTCAATTAAATTCCTTGGAAATAAATGTGCAAATGCCAGATGAACAAGGCATTTCCAGATGTATTTTTTTAAACATGTGTTACTGCTGAATTAATATAATTCAAAGGAAGCATTGTGCAATTAATCTGTACTACAACCAAGCTGCAGCCGTTCTCTCAGCTAGTCAAGCAACTGGTCAGTAAATGCTAAAATGCATCTGCTTACACATGATGCTTTTAACAACGAAAATGATTGGTGTACCAAAATTACTAACCCGCCTGCCCTTTCAAGGCTAGAGAAAATGGCTCTCCTTTTTTCCAAGATCTCAAGCTTGAGACACTTAATGCCAAAAGAGCCCCTCCAAGGATAACTCCGAACCTAGTGGCAGAAATGCTTCCAGTTAGCATGAAGGAAAGAAAGCCACCAAAGGAAAGAAGAACACCTGCAAAGCACGAGCAAGATAATGACAACTGAAGGCACCACATAATGCACTCTGCTTGATCTTAATTTAAACCATGGAATCATATTAAAGCATAGAGATGCAAAATGAGCAGGACACTTGCATCATGAGCCATTTCATACATGCCACATACCATACGGTATCCCAAGGTAAAAGTCCCGCACTTTAGAAACATCATTTAATTCATCTGTTGAGGAAGCAAATGTCTCTACAATATCCTTCAGTGGTTCAGGGGATTTCTCTGCAGCTGTGGATAAATATTCTTTACCCTCTACACTAATTTCCATCGCAATTACGCTCAAATCCTGTCTTGCCTTCTCTGCTTGAATTTTTAACTGCTCTGAAGTTTCTTTTAATACAATCATTGCTTTCTTAGAATACAACTCGTATGCTTCTTGTGACACACTCTGCATCTTTAAGGCTTGTTCTTTAAAAGAAGCAAGTGCTTGTTTCCAGGCTTCCTGCGATTCTTCAGCACCCACTTTAAGTTCATTCTCCTCCTCCTCCACTTCAATATCTGAAGGGTTCTGAAAAGATAATGAATAATCAAATATTTATAAAACCATTATGTGCATACAAATAAATATCAAAATATAAGGTGTGTACTTGAGCTTCGTATTTATTAAATTAAACAAATAAACTTGTGGGTTTGTTTGATTACATTCAGTTTTAACTGGAGAACAAGACGCTCAAAGAAGATACATTACACTTTCAACCAAAAATGCTGTGGCACACCAGCATAATTGCTGGCATGGCATCTTAAGGATAGTTTAGGTCCAAGTTTCAAACCTTATTGCAAACGGTTAATGGAGCTTAAGAATTACCAACATCAGACTTTCTCTAATCCAATAAAGGTCTGTGCTATGTTTCTACAACTTGAATGGACATTTTGGGTCAAAAAATCCAACGTCAAGCAATGGAAAGTCAGAAACCAATCCCACTTGAGATTTAATATTGAGAGACATAATTTTATGGGATAAAAAGAACTTCACATTCTTCATTTAGTTTTGTATTTGAGGAAAATGGTCAATTAGAGGAATAAAAATTACAAGACAGTCTTGTTGCAAACCTCCAGAAATGTAGGCATAAGAAAATCAGTACACGTTCCGGAATGACAGTATTTCAAATTTCCCAATCCAAAGAAACTGCTATTGCTCTAGTAGGTGAACGGAAACAACAAAATCAACAGTAAAACCATTTCTTTAAACAACTTTTCTACAAAAAGAAAAAAAAATCGTAGAACTTATCACAGTACGAATTCTTAGCCACAACAAAAAAGTTTCTAACAACTAAAAAAATATAAATCGAAGAAGCAACGGAGTCCAATTAATTAAACAGTGAAAATATTGCTAACAATCCAATTTTTAAATTATCACTCAAACATTGATACAAAATTAAGCATCAATCAATAGACAGAAGAAAATGATAAAATAAATAACTATTATGATAAAATGTAGCTCACCGATTCTTCATGGGAAGCTGCGAATGAGAAAATCAACCGATTTCTTAAACTAGGTCGACGCAATGGAAGCATACCGAAGACGAACCCTCTTGGAGAAACTGTGCGACCCACAATAGAAGCTCTGGAACTGTAAGGTCGTAAGAGCGCTTTGAACTGTAAAGATGACGGTGAGTGACACAACGCCATTGAAGCCCTCTTCAGAGACAGACTCGAGCAAGGGTTAGGGTTTGCAATTGTACAGGACTCGAGCGTTATGCTCATTGTGGTTTCGTGTATGTATAAATTCTAGAGATAGACGAAAAGGGGGTCAGGTGAATTTAACGATGGTGAAAAGGGTTTTATCAGGAAGAACAGTTATAGGAACTGGATGTCCGAAGCGATGCTATCTAACGTGCGCTACGGTAACCGATGCGCCCTTCTACATAGTACTGACTACTAAGTATAACTTTGTTGACACGTAAGGAGCCAGATGCTCGGGGTGGGTGCGACCCCATCGAATCGGGTAGGTGGTGGTCTTCTGTAGTACTAATGTACGAGAGAGTAGGCCTCGCAATCGTGTCTCCGTGTAAGGTGGAATAAGTTTGTGTCAAAATTTTTTAATTTATATCACATTCGTTTATATAAACGAATTCAACTATTACATTTATGTATGAATTATTTATTAGACGGGTTATCCGATATAATTCGTATGTCACCCGTTAAATAAGATGATAAGTTAGAGTATTTCGAGTACACACAAAAAATTATCAGTTTGCTAGACATTACACATGTTTGACTTATTTACTATAATAATAAATCAAAGTCGAGCAAAAAAATAAAGACAAAAAATAAATATTAAATGACTACTAAATTTGAATGAGTTTAAGAAATGAGAGGTGTGAGATGAGGCAGTGGCCCAGAGACCTAACTTTTTTTAAAAAAAATTATAGTACAACTATTAACGGATTAAATGGGTTGAAACAAGTTTATAGGTTAAACACGAAATCGATTCATTTATTTTATGGGTCTGTCGAGTTAACCCATAAACCGCCTGAACCTGTTAAGACTACACCCAAACCCGCTAAATCTATGTCAAATTCGTATCAATTTCACAGGTCATGTCTAAAATTGTCAGGTCTACGAGAGAGTGTATTCTTTATAATTGCGTCACTTATTTGATCAATATTGTCATTTATTATTTAGTTCCAGATAATAATGAAATTTTGGGTATGAGTCGCTATAATCAAATAGTTCAATAAATATAAGAAACCAATAATTGCGTAATGACTCAAATGGAGCACCCACATCCTGTCCACACCAAAAGTAGAGTTTACCGAACCCCAAAGGAAAGGCCCAACGGTACCAGAGGATCTGGACTCCAGCCTAGCCCCAGTCTAACTCAGTCATATGTCAGCTCGGATAGAGAAGCTCGGCCCAACGTCTGTCCTAAAGTGCCCTCGTCGTGCCACATGTCTTAAGGACAAAGGGACCACACCTGACACCCATAATGAACATGCACTCATTGGCACATAAAATGTTGGTGTGTATAACCATTCAGAGATTGTGGGCACAGAAGCATTGTGTGGCAGAGGTCACTACAGGACAAAATTAGACGGCCATAGAATCAACAAAAAGGAAGGAGTCTCGGGAAATTCTAGAAGAATTACCTGTATAAATAAGACACTACTATGCTATAGTAAAACATCGTCATCTCCTACATTGACATTCTAGAATCATCAACACAGTCTAGCTTATCTACATATTGTTCTTGTAAAGGCCCTGTGCCAGCTACATCATTATACTTACCCAAAATCAAGTAATATACAGATTTGAAGAGCAAGAGATTCTCTTACAGTGGATATAATCTTAGTCCTCTGACTAAAGTGAATCATTTACATTGCGCTTTGGATCTCTCCTTACTATTCTATTCCTTTCCATTCTTCATATTTACTTTGCATTCCTTCTGGGCCAACCGGCTAAGGAACCAAACTTGGGCCAATAAATCCGAGCACCATCAGTTTCAATACCATAACTAATTTCTCATTGTTAAAGCCACAGATAATAGCCTCTTTGATCAGTTGGCGACTCCAAGCATATTATAATTTTTTTTGGTTCAATGATAAGGGGTATTTAGTTTAATTTATGTATATTTCGATTAATTTTATATTCAATTTGATTAAAGGGAGGTTATCCATGCTAAGACTAAATCTCTCATGAGGGATTGAAAAGATAACTCTAGGTGTTTAAATTTATAACTCGTCTCTATTATTACTTAAACTATCCCTCAGAAATAATTTAGAAAGAGTTGATCAATGGTATGAGTGTTTCATCTTATAAAGAAGATAATCAAAATTTATCAATTCTTTATGTTATCTAAGAGATTTACATGTCATATTATTTAGTCAAATAATAAATAGTTTACATGTGAAGAGAGCCAGAAAGGCAAGCAAGGGATAGATGATAGATCCAACACTTCAGCCAACTATACTTTTCATTTCATATATGTTATGGACAAGCAAGGCATCCATGCATATTTGTTCTCTCTCTCTCTCTCTCTCTCTCTCTCTCTCTCTCTCTCTCTCACAACATTATCAAGAGGAAAAAAGCCAAGCCATTGGGACAAATACATGGTCTGCACCTTACATGTAGCTAGGTTCTTTGTTTTTTGTCATTCCTCAGCTAGCTAATATATGAAACTTTCTTGCATCATATACATCATTAGAAATGTTATCACTTTTACTGAGGTTGAAATAGCCAACCCCGAGGGGTTAGCCTAGGGGTTCAAGGGTCACTTGGTAAGTACCTTCACTTGGTACTGTTCAAGGGTTCGAAACTTACTAGGTGCAAACGCTCCTTGGGGCCACTAGTCCTAGATTTAGGGTTGGGATTGCTGGAATTCCAAAAAAAAAAAAAACAGAAGAAGAAATAGCCGACTTGTTGTACCATACTAAAGAAAACACGATCTGCAACTTTAGAGATCATTTCAAGTTTTGGTTTTGGTACCACAAGGCATCTCCATTGCTTCGGTTAAACGAAGCTATCACCACATACATTATGTTGAATCCATCCACAAAACCATTTTTTTTTCTCGTAACTTAAAAAAGAAATATCAACATTCAAGAATTTTGTCATGTCTTCCAAAAAACATAGGTGCAAAAAAGCTAAAAAGAGAATTGATAGAAAACCAAAACCAATAAAAATGAAATAGAACTGATGGGGTTAAACCTTATGATTACATGTGACATGACATTAAATGTGCTCACGTGATGTTGACAATATAAGGCACGTGATAAAGAATCATCTATTAACCTTTTTAACCAAGCCGAGCTAATTAGAGGTTCGGCGATGGTAGAAAAAGTGTGGTTCTCTTTATGACCGAACTCATCAGTCTGTTCAGCTAAGCAATGAAAGAGCTCGACTTGTACCAAGCTGAGTCTGTTAAAGTGTTCGGCAAGGCAATTGAAGAAATCAGTTTGTGTCAAACCAAGTCCCTTAATCTGTTCAGCAAATATCAAGTGTGTTCGGTATTTGATATATCCGAATTGTTTTAAATAATAAACAGAAGGATAAAGATTCGCTTATAACTTAGGTAATCAGATAAATGAATCAGAGAAATTGAAGATATTAGGAGAAAATAATAGAGAAATATCAGCAACTTCCTAAACCGAATCACTGAATTGAAGGAAGGTGTGCCACCTTGAATTAAAAATCACGAAAACCCTAAGGGAATGACCATCTATAAAAAATAGAGGAATCCAAGGTGAAAGGTACGCTGAACTCTCTTGGTCTTCTTCCATTCGTTTCATTATCTTTATTGACTTAAGAATAGGAGTGCTTTCAATCGAAGCACTTTGATTTTGGACAGTTTATTTGTTTTGCAGGAAGAGGAAGACTGGAAGATCAAGTTAAGATACACATTAATATTTCAATTCCAATAGGAGGTAATCTCGATTTTTTGCCTCTTACATTTGGCACCGTCTGTAGAAAAATTTCCATCTTTCGCAACAAAAAGCCACAATGTCTAAACTCATAAGCGCAATTAGATCGCCTAGAGATAGTTTCGCCTTGGGAGACTCTGATCCTGCATCCATCCCACCTGGTAGCAACGCGCGATTTCAGGTAAGAGGAAGCTCTTATAGATCCTATGAAGACGAAGAGACGTCCTCTGCCAGTTTTAGGCCCTTGAAGAATCAGAACCGTCAAATTTAAGATCGTGGAAAATCCCTCCATGCCGAGGGGGAAAACTACTCCCTGATAAAATTGGTTCAGTCCCTGCAGGATAGACTTGACGCTCATGACAAGTTGTTCAAAAAATCTTATGCCAGAGAAAAAGATTTGATCAAAGAAAACGAAGAACTAAAAACCAAGATAAAAGAGATGACCAGGAAAGAGAACCATGCGAGGGAAAGCCATTGGAAAAGTCCTGAAAGGAAACCCGATAGACTTAGAAGCAACAATGAAGATCATCACTAGCAGAAGAAACCTCAGTTTTAGGAGGAGCTTGCATGGAAACAATACATTACCAAAGAACTCAACAACCGCTTGAGGAGACCAGAACAGAGGTCGACTAGGGATCTAGCCAAAAGAGCGACAGGAGAATATGGAGACGGTCCGGAGTCCTCTCCATTTATAGTTTGGATTGAGAAGGGACAAATTCCGAGCAAATTCACCATCCCGAACTTCAGACTATATGACGGAAAGACTGACCTAACCTCGCACATCAGACATTACAGGCAGCTGATGACCTTTCATCGAAAAAATGAGCCCCTACTCTGTACTATCTTCCCTAGCAGTCTTGGGGAGTCAGCCATGAAATGGTTTGATAGCCTATCGAAGGGAACGATCGATAGATGGTCTCAGTTAGCCGAGCAGTTCACGGCTCGGTTCATAACTAGTAACAAGTAGCCGAAGGATGTTGGAGCACTACTGATGCTAAAGAAGAAGAATAACGAAAGCCTGTGAGAGTATGCTCATCGTTATTGAGAAACTATGAACGAGGTTGAAGGGTGCAATCCAGAGATTGCAGTTACATCCTTCAAGATTGGGTTGCCGAAGGAGAACCCCCTATATTAGTCACTCACAAGAAGGCTGGCCACGGATCTGGAAGAGCTGATGTCTAGGATTGAAAAGTATGCCAAAGTCAATGACGACTTATCTAGGGACGGGGTTAAAGAACATCCGAGGAAGAGACAGTTCGGCAGAGGCAAATAGACTGAGCCAAACAGAGAGGGAGGAAGAAAGAATGAGAATGATGGATATCCTCAAAAGTCCCCATTGCTAGGGGTAAATACATTGTTCAAGGAACCAATATACAAGATACTAAGCCAGATCAAGACAAAGTCATTTTTCAAATGGCCGAACAAGTTAATAGGAGATCCTTCTAAAAGGAATTCAAACTTCAAATGTTCATAT